TTTGAAATTCAATTAAAAATTGATAAAATTTTTGTCGTCTAATCCATCGATGGTATCATTTACTACTATACAGCCCCTTCAAAATCCATTTTGGACCGTTCCAAAGCGATTTTTTTTCCGGAGATATAGCAATTCGAATTTCGATAAATTGTATCTCGTAGACGCCTAATCTGTAAGGCAAAGGTGACTCCCCGGCCAATGAAGGCAAGGTGGATGACTCCCCGGCCAATGAAGGCAAGGTGGATGACTCCCCTGCCAGTTAAGTTGCTTTTACAATGATTTATGAAATCTTTTTCTTTTTGTATCAAAACTACGTGAATTACAATGTCGTTTGTGTGATGCGTTTTTCTCATCACGTTTCAAACTCCAGCAGTAATCACCTAACATTGCTGAATTCCACCTGCCTTGATCTTCTTTCAATCTCCTTCATATCTTGATGGAATCTTTCCCCTTGTTCTTCACTGATTTCTCCCAGATTTGCGGGGAAAAAGTCCAAATGAGAATAAAGAAAATGCAGTTTTACACTCATGTTACAACCTAATTTTTTGAAATTATCCAGTATGGTCTCAACTAGATCTTTGTAATTAGCTTCCTTTCGATTCCCTAAGAATCCTTTAATGACTGCTTTGAAACTTAACCATGCATTTTTCTCATTGACGGTCATTGTTTCCGCAAAATGTTCATCCTTCATTAGTTTTCTAATATCTGGACCAACAAAAATACCTTCTTTAATTTTCGCTTCACTTAAAGATGGAAACTGTTGTTGCAGATATCGAAAACAGTTACTCTCTCGGTCCAGTGCTTTTACAAACTGCTTCATTAGCCCAAGCTTTATATGCAGGGGAGGCAACAGAACATTGTTTCGGTCGATCAGCGGTTGCTGAGTAATATTATGCGAACCTATTTCTAGTTTTTCTCTTAATGGCCAATCTTTTTTTATCCAGTGTAGGTCTTTCGCTCTGCTGTCCCACTTGCATATAAAGCATGGGAATTTAGTATAACCTGTTTGTTGTCCAAGAATCATTCCAATAGCTTTTAAATCACCACAAACTTTCCATTTATGTTCATCATACCGTATTGACTGAAAAACCAAATTCATATTGGTGTACGACTCCTTCAGATGCGTTGAATAAACAATGGGAATAGACGTATACCTATTACCATTATGCAAAAGCACACCTTTTAAGCTTCTTTTCGAGGAATCTATGAAAAATCTCCAATCCGCACTGTTAAACTTAATTCCGTATTTATCCAACAAACCCGAGACATCGTTACAAAATACTAAAGAATCCTCTTCGGTGAAAAACCGTGAAAACTTTTTCTCGCGGGCCCTATACCACGAAAAGGATGTTTTTAGAAGAAAATTACGCTCTTTCAATCTAGAGCTTTACAAAATACTAAAGAATCTTCTTCGGTGAAAAACCGTGAAAACTCTTTCTCGCGGGACCTATACCACGAAAAGGATGTTTTTGGAAGAAGAAGATTACGCTCTTTCAATCTAGAGCCTAAAAGTTCAGCTTTTTCTTTCGATAGATCTAAATCCCTGACTAAATCGTTCAGTGCAGCTTGATCGTACAACCGCGGAGTCGTCTCTAAACTATCTAAATCGTACATAACATTGTTATCCTCATTAATAGCTTGTTCCTCATATTGAAAATTTGTCTGAGATGTTCCTGACTTTTGAGAAACAGGTAGTGGATCCATAGAGGATCTTGGAGTCGGCTTTGTTACGGATGATAAATCCGGATATTTTATAAAATTTTTATTCGTACTATTGTAACCAAATACATTGCATAAGCAGAAATAGCACTCATCGTGACTCTTTGGTTCTCGCCAGATCATCGGTGTGCTGAAATGGAAATATTTTGGTTTACCAATATACCATGATCTTAAGACTTCCACACAAGATTTGCATGATTTGTGCGGAACCCAACTTTTATCCTGATGAGTAATTTCACGATTAAAGTAATCATAATACCTCTCTTTTAAAGAATCATTTATAGAAAATATATGCTTCGAGAGCA